TCCATAAACGCTGATCTGTCAGAATTGTGCTGTGGTGTTTCCGACTGGATCTGAGTCAAATACTTCAGGGTTTGCCTCAGGTAGGAATAAAAATGAAGATACGGAAAGCGATAGGAAAGCATCAAGTATTCTTTATGAACTCCTGTTCGTGTGCTGTCATAACACCTTCTGAACAGCTGATCCAGAGCTAATCGGACAGTTCTGTCTTATGTTCTTACTGGATTTTCTTTTACCTTTTATCAACTGAAGCAGCAAAATGTTCACTACTTAGGAGAGCACGCTGATCTAATCTCAAATACAAAACGGATTTAAATAGAATTTATAGGGGAAACATAAGTGTAACAGCAATAGGAGGACTGGGGAAAGAGAAGAGAGTAAGGTTAAAGAAAATGTGAACGTATGATTACAGAAATCATTACCGGCAATAAATGCATGACTTAGGAGGCCAAGGCAGGACTTGGAGGTGACCAGGAATTCCAGATCGAAGCCAAGCCTGATTCACCAAACTTGTGGCCTCCACTGTATTGCCCACATTAATCCAATGCCTATTTATGCATTAAAAGCAGTTCTTTCCAGAGCTATTCAAGTGCCAGAAATAAGAGATTGTTATGACTTCACGTCATGTTGAAAGACAGGTGGAGGAGAGCACGATGTTTGTGTTGGATTCAGATGTCTGCTGAAATCATTCCTGTCATTGCTAATTGATGTTGCATCTGTCTTTAGATTGTGACTATTGAAAAAAAAATGCTGAAGATCTTATTCAGAGAAATAATTACAGTTGTACACTGATAGATATAAAATTAAAGTACATGGGGGGGAAGGGAGCTACATCCTATGATTTATCAAATTCCTACATCCCCAAAAAATCATTAGACGCTGGGCAGCATGCAGGCCCTGCTGCAGAGGCCACTGCCGAGGGGATAGCAGTGGCCAAAAGTAGGCCACTGGTTCTCATTTATTCCGTCCATTTTTGCTCCTCTATTGTGTTTGGAGTATTAGCTTCCAACTATCCAGAGACAAGGTAGGAAAACAATGGCAGGCTTTATTAAGAGCCTGAGACGTAATCCCCAAGCATGAGTACAATTGCACAAGTAAGCTGGTGAGAGAAAAAAGGGAATTCTACTTATGCCTGGCTTTCAGGAGTTTCACTCTCTGCAGCCCTTCAGTGGGATATAGTTGCAGGCAGGATTAAATCTGCATTATTTTGACAAACTTCCGTTGAAGTGGTTGAAGATTATTAACAGAAGTGGTATATGAAGTAGCTCTTCAATAGATGCCTTACATCCCTGCTGTATGCCAGGGTTGGCTTTTTTTCCCTTTTCTTTTCCTTGCTCCTCTTCATGACGCTTGTGTGGATGTTAGCTGAGTCTTTCACAGCCTGATTTGTAAATTTGCATACCAAGAACCAACTTCATCTGGTCAAAATTTATACCGCACGTAAGCCAGACACAAGCTTATATCACATGAAGTCAGCAGGCACCTCTCTGGCCACTGTGCAGCAGAACTGGACTACAATATATGATATTTATTATCACCATACAATATATGTGACTTGGGTTTCCGTCATCCACTGCTCTTGATGCTTCCTACTTTATCCCTGCTGCTTTCCTTTATCAAGATCACATCTTCAGCTCTGTGTTGGAAGATCCCTGTACAACCCAACCGCTGCAACCTCGGGAAGTCTATGCTTGAGATGTGCTGGATACTCCCAACATCTCAGATACTCCCAATGTCCAGGCAGCCGTTGTGTTACCACTTGGTAGTAAACTATCCTGGAAGGACCTTTAAGGAGGAAAAGCTTGGAGGAGCTCTCCCATGTAGTTATCCCTTAAAAGCCTGCAGTCCTGACTGCTCCGGTGGCTTGAGTTCATTCCAGATTGTGCTTTTCACAGCGCACACAACAGCAACTCAAGTGCTCTGGACTCTGCTCACCTTGTCTCTGACTTACTGCATAGGAGTGCAAGTGTCCTTTGCCCACACACAGTGGATAACTGTGATTTTATGTAAGTTATGTGAATTTCATTGACAATTCACCCTCAGAACATTGTTTAAGAAGGTCTTGGAAGTGTAATTACGTACTAGTATCTGCAATTGTGAACCACAGCTTCAGGCAATAAGATAATTTCCTGGTATCTAGGCAATAGAGTTTATGTATAGAACTGCTTCCTGCAGCTCGAAGGACTTCTTCTTCTGATAGTTGGCTTTCTAATTTCTACATCATGCTTGTGAAACAAGGAATTTGTTCAGAAGTTAGGAATCTGTGGTTGTGACGGGAGATAATACAGACATGTGTTGACTTCAGCACTTTTTCTGTTTCTGGAAATTGAAAACTATTTGCTTATCAGAAATGTTCATCAGCAGGTTCCTAAGTAAATAGTAAAGTTTTGTGTTAAAGAAGCGCGCTGCTTCGCTGACTCTGATTGTAAAGTACCTGGGAGGGAAGGACTCCCCCTTCCTATGCTGTCGAGTTAGGGAATTGTAAAATTAAGGTGCTTTTTTTTAGCACAATTCCATGAGACATGTCTGTCCCGATGCAATTTCAACTTCTCGTTTACATTTGCAATTCAATGTGTGTAGGAGCCTCCAAAAATGAAGTCTTCCATGACAATTAACTTCGAGTAATATAAAGCAATAAAAATTGATTGCGAAACCTTCTTGGTTGTCTTCTGAAAAGGTATAAATAAATAACTGCTGGAACGGGTATCAGCGTCTTCTGGAAGGTTTCCTTTCCCCCCCCCCTCTACATTTCGTTACAACAATCGGCTTCACAATGACTCATTGCCTTCGTTAGAAGCGGGAAGACATACCTCATTATTCATTACCAAAGGAAAGACTTTGCTGCTGCAAAGAACAGCCGTGGCATTCTAATGCAGCTACCTTTCAAGAGCAGGGAGTCAATGTCATCCTTCCCCAAACTTTGCCAAAAGAGACAAGAAATAATGCTGTTTAATTGTCCCCGTTTATAAATAGCCCATTCACAGGGAGAGAATTGTATTTTTAATACTGCAGGCAGGAGGAGAAGTCACACATTTTTCTACATTTGTGTCTGAATCTCGTTTCTGGGAGCTTGCTCTGGGACTCTCAAAACTATAAATGATCATCTATGTCTATGTGTAAATAGGAAATGCATCTATTTAGTGACGATTTATTGTGTGACTTTTTAATTACGGAGCACTGTAGATGTGTTACATAAACACACACACAAAGCATTTACTGTTTGAGTAATCCAAGGATAAATTAGATTCCAAAAGGAGTAGGGAAGACTGTTTTAAAATCATTCTTTTTGTTGATTTCACCAATACAACTGTTCCTTGTCTCTTTCTGCATTCCTGTTTTCTGATTTACTTAGACATTAAGGGATTGAGCATGTATTATGTTTCTACTGTATTTTAATGTGTTTTTTATTAAGCTCTACAGCATGGACCATGTCTCTTTATAAATAAAGCTATGATCATGTATTACTAGAAACCCCATTTCAAACTGTACTTTTGCCAGACTTGGTTAAGATTTTTCTAGGAAGGGACATTATAATTGTGTGATTAATCTTCAGGAAAGGGAAATTTTGGCTCTGCGGTATTTCTTACTGTATTAACCTCACAGATTTATAAAACCAACTCGAAACTGCACTGCAAGTGTGTTTATAATGACTTTTAGCTGATTTAATAATCCTCAGAGTTTGATGACCGAACAGATCGCAGCTTCACAAACGCAGTCCATTACCTGTAGCATCCAGATGAAGTTATCAGGGGTGGAGGAAATGACTCGGGATTGTGTTTCTGCATAGCGAGGCATTAATCCAACCTCTGGCTGAGCCCTGGGCTGCATTGATCCCATTATGCACTGGGGACATGTGCATGGTTGATAAAGGACATCTCCACGTTGAAAGTCTCGCCGGGGCGTGTGTTTACCATCAAATCTTGGTGGTGCAGTTGTAAGGCACCCACTGTGGTGATGCTGATAGGAAAATTTTCGAGCCAGTCTGTGTTTCATCTCTTGTGTTGTTATCAGTACCTATGGCAAATGCCACTCCCTGCAGCTGGCAGCGCTTAAAGTCTCTTATAGTTCATGATCCCACAAACCCTTTTCAATCCCAGGAGTCCTAGATCATGCTAATAGCTCTGCTAATTGCAGTTATTGGCACTGTCTTATCACAGTGGAGTAAGAACCTCTTAGACAAGCAATAGAGTGCAGGATCAAGTCCTTAGGTTACATTCACATGTGACAAGCCACGGCACAAGGTTGTTTTCAAAAGTCACCAGTTAAAACCAGTTGAAACAATGCCAGAAGCCTCATGTTAAGCTTTCTGGCTGCGTACTTCTTTCGTTGTTTCCAAGCGTTGTTTTTCATAACAGTAAATATCGAACAACAACCCTGGGAGTCGCTGGGAGCTGGATTGGCAGGTCTCAGTCTCCGTTTAACATGCAAATGATCAGCCTGTGCCCACATATGGCCGCTTGCTAGAGCCGAGCTCGCTTCATTAACACAACGCAGAGAGCTCGGGGCGGATGCGGGGTACGTTCATCATAACCCAGAGCACAGTGCTTCAAGCCAGGATGTGAACAACACACAACACAGAACTGAATTTACACGTGATCCAGAATCCAAATATTGGACATGTTTTTGCAGAACGCTGGTTTTTCTTGTTTCTGGTCTTCCAGTTCACAACAGTAAGTAATCAGGCTTCAATCCACTGCGTATTTCCAGACCAGTTAGTTGAGCTATTTTGTGACTTTAAAGCAATTCCTGACCTTCATCTCTCAGATGACATGCAGTGTCTTTAATGGTGCTAAGGACTGAACAGGAGCCCACTAACACCTGCAGAATTCACCTATTTGGCATCTTCGTAATTCTCACTTTATTAAGCAGATAAAAGGATAGCTCTTTCCTTTGCAGCCTCCCTTGTTTGCTCTGTGATGTGCTGTGAGTCCAGCCAAACATTTCTTTGATCAACGAACAGAGTGAGCTGTATGAAACTTAACTGGGTGCCTTTACATCTCCAGGCATCCACTGCGACAATATCTGCACCCAAGGCCGCTGGGGACCAAACTGCTCCATCTCCTGCAACTGCGAGAACGGGGGCTCCTGCTCCCCAGAAGACGGCACCTGTGACTGCGCACCAGGATACAGAGGACCCTTGTGCCAGAGAAGTAAGCTTGTCCATGCATGGGGTGGCAGAAGCAAAGCGGGCAGAAATGTTCATTTATGACACCAGACAGAGCCACAGGTTTCTGAGATGCTTTAACTCAGGATTTCCTAAGGGCAAAAGCTAAAAAATCCTTCTTGATCAAGAAGTCAAGACTCAACTACGTTCAATTGTGCCTTGTGTTTCTTCTACTGGAGGTCACAGGTGACCTGAAAGAAAGAGCAACACTTTTACATACCAAAATTGGGAGAATTTGGGCAAAAACAGATGTACAGGTTAGTGGTGGTAAACTGTAGGATAACTATTAGACAGTCAGTTACAACCCATCACATAATGACAAGTGGATGAGCGTTCACTATTGAAATAGCAAGATAATGTTTTCTTATACGCCAGAAAAAGCAACACAGCAGCCTGAAATAGCTCCTGTCTGGTGCTGTGCTGCTACATATTAAAATGTGCCAGGCAGATAAAAATCCTCTCATTTGCTTTATCTGGAAGCTGCCTTTGCCCCTTAGGGACTCCTGTTCACTGATCCAAACTCCATGCAACCATCTTCCAGTGTAAACACGGAATGGATGTGTCACTCTCTTCTGCAGCAGCTCTTGCTGGAAGACATTCTGCATGCCCAGTTCATATATCCTCTTTGATATCACCAGTTACACTTGACACTAGAACACACTCATCTCTAAAAATAATTTGTAGCTGACAGTTTTTATTTAAAGTCATTATAATGATGACCTCTAGCACTGCTGTAGTTAATGGCCTATAAGCATTTCCATTATAAACCCCAATTTCCAGGTGCTTCAGCATATCTATATAGCTGTAAAACCTCTCTCCAAGGCTAAAATGTGGTGCTCAGAGCTTCAGGGAATTGGAGAAGAAATTGTTTTACAAATTTGAAACCCTAAGAGTGCAAAACTTCCCAAAGTTAATCGTTTCTGACCTTTCTGAGATGAAAAAAACCAGCTTAGTTTTATCAGCTGATGGCACGTATGCTACAAGAGGCAACCCATGTTCCCAGCTTGCAACTCCAGTAACCGGGCTGCTCCCTGAGGACATTTGCTGAGGACCTAAGGGGGAGAAATCTTCCTCCTCACTGGGGTGACAGCAGAGGATGCATCTGTGGATGCTTCTGCTCTCGATTCGTGTGGCTGAAATGCCTCTCTGAATACACGGGCAGGGAATTCGGCTTGCTCCCACCTCTTCTGTGTGATGCAGGCTCAGGTCTGTGTTGTGTACAGGACACTTCTGTGGGTGAAGGCAGCTTTAGCTTGCTAAGCCAGCTTTCAGAATCATTCCCATTTTTCTCTTGGAAATTCATTTAGAAGCAGAATGTAGCCTGTAAAAGGCAGTGCTGAAGATGACACTCAGCCGACTTGTTCTGTCTGTAATCGGGATTACATGAGACACCGGGATACTTTACTGCTCTTAGGGCTGCAGAAGTGTCTCCAGGAGTGATCCAGGTTGTTTTATAGCTAGAGCATCATCAACAAACCTGTCAGCTAAGTTCCAGCTGGAAATCTGCAGCAGTGTAAGAACCTGACACCCTCTGCGAACATACGGACCAAGAGAAAAATTCTCACTCGGTGAGAAAATGGAACAGACATGATATAGTAACCACCGAGCCAGAACTGTGTAACAGAGAATCACAGGAGGAAAAATAAAAACATATAAAGTCATTTTTACAGCCACTTACTGCAATTTAACATTTCCTTCTCCCTATCTATCGCAGTGAATGTTTGGACTGTGGATGTTTTTTCATTCTACAAGTGCTTAGAAGCAACAGTACGCGTTTATAAGAGATGCTGAGCCATAATCTTGACCCTGTACCTCATGGACAAATTCTATAGTAATTTAAATCCAGGTTTGAAGCAAATCAAGCACACAGTTCGTGACAAGTTTCCTCAGCTATCCGGTGTGATTACTGATGCAAATTAGGTGATTTTGTATGCCATTACCGTAATTACCATTTGGAGATTCTGTTCATCACTGATGGAGGCTGCTCCTGCAGTGGCAGGTATAACTGGCTGTCCCAACTGAGCACACGTATCGCACCTAATACGTTAGAAATCAGCTTTTGACATAGCTGTTTAGACATAAAATAATGAGTGTTTCCTAATACACCGTCCCTGGTTTCTTAGCTTAATTTCCTAAGGAAATGGCATTCTGAGTTTGTTGTCTGTGTGCATGTGTGAGTGTTTCTCTTCCTGCCTATCTCAAAAGTGTTGGAATTACGTTATCAGGTATTAACCATACCTGCCAGTGAGCTCTGAGGTCTAAAACATCTTAAACTCCCCTGTTTTGTAAAAGAGTTTAGCTGGAACAGGCTGGAGAGGCTGAAATTCATCTCTTGAGAGACAGAGGCTGCTGACAGCTCAGGTGTATTATTAAATAGCCAAGGACTTAGATGATGTAGGATGATGGGAATGTTTGAACCACGAGAAGGCTTTTACTCAGAGTTTGCACATTATAAGACATGGAATAATCCAACCAGCTTCATCATTTCAGCTGTTTACAACATTGTGGTTTTATAAATTAAGAGATATCGGTTTGGGGTTAAGACAGAGAACTCGCAAGCTCTCAGCAATGAGAAATCTGAAAACCTGATGGCTTATTTTGTTTTGTCTTCAGTTTGCCCCCCTGGCTTTTACGGCCACCACTGCAGTCAGCCGTGCCCTCAGTGCGTGCACAGCAGCGGGCCCTGTCACCACGTGTCAGGACACTGCGACTGCCTGCCTGGATTCTTTGGCGCTCTCTGCAACCAAGGTACGGACCCAAATCCTCCCAAGCACCACCTCCTTTCCTAAATTTCTGTGTCTGTGACTTTGCAGCAAGACGGATTACAAGGTCTCCACCTTTTTTTTTTCCTTGTTTCAGCAGTTTGGATCACAAGAAATTCTTTACTTCAGAGGTAAAATGCAGATAGGTACTTAGTCACCCTTTTGTAAATATGAATGTGCTGCTGCTTTCATAAATAAAACAGGTCTGCTGCTCTCTGTCAGAATGAATATGGAACGAGACACCTGCTGCAAATACATCAGCCATCCAGTGGTTTCCTTCTCCTTTCTGCTAAGCCTATCGTGTTCTAAATGTCGATGGCACCTTCACATGCTCTCTGTCAGCAGGAGGTGCAGATACGAGTTAAGGTAAAGGCCAGCTCTGGTACACAAGCCCAAACACCCAGTTAATACATAAACCTTATTTACACTGTCTAGGACCTGGCTGGGAATGGCTAAAATCATGCGCACCCAGACACAAGCGCAGGAGACAGAAAAATTTGCAATGAGGCGGGGAAAGTGAATTAATTTCCACAGGTGAAGAGTAGCTTCAACTCCCCCTAACGTCCGTTACCTTTCTGCACCTTTAAAAGTTAGACCACTTCTCATTTTCTCTTCTACCCTTCATGTGGGTATCATGGCAGTGTTCTGCAGAGTCCAAGCTGCCGCACTCTACTGCAGGTGTTTTACATACAGATTTAAAAGGGTTTATTCGTAATGGCTGCAACCCTTGTGGAGTCACCATCCCTGTGAAAATGGCACTGACGCTTTTTAATGGCCTGCTTTTCAGTGAGCTGGAAATTGCAGGCAGCACTTACGCAAAAATCATTAAACATGGATTAAGTATAACCGTGTTTTCTTTTTCCTGTGCTGTACAGTCAACTAAACGTTACACCAATTAACTTATTACAATGAACATATTTCGGTGAATTTGTCCATTTTATGTGAAACGTTAGCCAGATTTCAAAGCATAAGCAGGGGCTAATTATCCTCTTAAGAAAACTATTTTATTTTTTGCTCAGATGTTCAGCACTTCTGGTTTTACTTTGAAATGTTGATCTCTCCAGCAAATTAATTTTAAAATATTCATGTCCTAATTAAAATCAATTTTTGTTGCAGTTTGTCATAATGAGTTAGCATGTAACTTTATTTTGTAGGAAGAAAAATGCTAATTCATGCTTCCATTACAAAAACATGGAACGAAGGTTTCACTCTTGAATTTTCATCTCCTTGTGCTGTCTCTTTTCTGGCAGCAAGAACATGCTCCCGTCAGCAGCACGTGTATGCGAGGAGCTGCGTCACCTCCGAATTTGCACGGGTTGACACGGTTGTGCTAAGGATTCTGAGCAGCAAAGGACTAAGCAGCTGGTTTATGAATATCTTTCACAATCATGTAGCGAGATGGATTGATAATAACTTGTTATCGCTGTTAGAGCACACCTGACATCCCGCAGGGGCTCTCGGAGTCCCACTTCAGAGCTTTTATAGCTAATTAACATCGCTATCTGCGTTGTACAATCAGGTTGCTCCTGAAGAAAGCAGTGTCAGTCCTTAGTCTACAGCTTCATTTAAAAATGTTTGAGACGTTGAAGAAGCGCTTGGATTTGGATCTCGCAACGTTACAAGAGTCAGTCCACAGCCAGGTTACTTACACTGATGAGGACAAACATTTTGGCAGGACCATTTTTGTCGTCCTTCTGTGTTGCTGTTCTGGAGGGCATCACACTCTGTCAGTGCGACAGGAGGTGCTCACACGCAGGACCCCCTCTGCTCGTTGGAACCGAAGCATTTCTTTTATGAAGAAAGAGCTGTTGCTTTTGTCAGCATCGCTGTTTGGATCAACAAATCTTTTCCCGTTTCATTACTATTCCATGTTACAGTGTAAATCAGCTCCTATTTTAAGTAAGGCTTTTGACAACTATTTTTTTGGACATATAAAAATCCAGCCTTCCTTTAAGTGATGTTATCTATCTCCATCTTAAAGATGCAGTAAAAATATTGCTTTGAACTGCTCTGTATAGAGCATTGGAGCTGAATGATGGCGTAGCATGCATGAGAACCTGGGCTGATAGATCATTTTAACTCTTGCTCCTTCTGTGATATGAGGCCTTTTCTTTCCTTCCCTCTCTTCCTCTTGTGTCTGTGTATTGTGTTTAGTTTTATCTCTGTGCTTTATCTCTGTGCTGTTTAGCACATAATTTGAAAGCCAAAAGCAACTTTATCCATTGCTACAGATAAGTCTGTAGTGTGTAGAAATGTAGGCAGAAAACAATAGTATGCCACAGGTTTCTGCCAAAGTGAAAGCAGAGGATGGCATATTGTATAAAAGCAAATGAATCAGAGCTCGGGATTTCAATCTGTGGCTGATTCAGAGTCAGGATAGATTGAGGTCACCTGCAGAGACTACGTATGAGAGAGTGAGAACGGCTGAAGTGGTGAAGCAGTTGCATAATTCAGGGAAGTGCCTTAATCGCTTTTTTGCCATCACTATTATTTACCAGGATACAAGTCCAGTTCCATTTGTTACCCTCTTTGCAAAGATGGACTGTATGTTTTATCCTGTTTTGAAAATACATCTGTTTTTGTCAGGGAACGCAGCCAATAAGAGCAGAGAAATTAAACATTTCATTCATTACTGAGCAGAGCTTTCCATCAACTTTAACGTTAAAGATTTCCAATAATTTGGTGGGAGGCTGGAGATCTACGTGTCTATTAGTTTTATGTCTCTGTGCTTAGGTTGTTATGAGTCCGGAAAAAAAATTATAGAGCTTCTTTTCTTCCAACTTCAGGAATAAGGTGGACCAACAGGAACAGACCCTTGATTTTTTTAGGTTGCAGCGCATCTGTTCAACAACTCATGGTCAAATA